AATAAATTTGTTAGTCTCTAAGGTGCCACAAGTACTCCTGTTCTTTTTGCGGATACAGACTAACACGGCTGCTACTCTGAAACACATATGCTAGTTGAGACTGATTCTGCCACCTTTTCCATGTTGAGTACTTTACTTCTACTGCAAGTTGCCCCATTTATTTCAGCAGGACTACCTGCAGAGTAAGGTAAAACTCGGCATAAAGGTGATAGGAATTGCTAAGTGCCTGAGTCTGAGTGACCTGTCCAAACAAAAGAGGGCAATAAATTAGAATGACAATGGCATGACGAGAATGCATAGTTGCTGTCCCATCCGTACCATCAACTCAGTTCTCCAGTTCACTAGGCACAGCATGAGTGAAATGACCTAAAAATCCACAAGCCAGTGCAAGAACTAGAAAGCCTCCTTTAAAAGAAGGCTTGACAGATATTCTTACTTGGAAACAACAGGTGATTAAAAGTTTCTCTCACAAGACTGACAAAATGCATAAATACGTTGACTGGGAGATGCTCTACTAAATTCAGCCATGTAACAGTGCCCTCAAAATGATCTGTGTAAAATGAATGAAACCAGCGACAGCCCTGAAGACTACATTTCACTTACACCTTCACCTCTGCTGCTGAAAGCCGGATTCGTGCTCTTGAAAGTATTTCTCACTACCATTTCTGTTGTTTAACAGCCATCTGACCACAGGGGCATTTTGTACTGATTACCAGACGGTTTACTGCCAAAACAACCCAACCCGGGCAGATGCAAGACCCCTCCCTCACCGACAGATAATAGTTCTCTGAAGAACAAAAAGATGGATTAACTACTAACACCCCTTCCCTAGATGTGGGAAGCACCTATACCAGGGCGCGTGTAGTGTAGCCTGATTCGGACGCCTGAATAGGAAATATTACCAAAAAATGCAGCTGCCATTTGCTCAGGAGCAGTGATTGTTTCTGCTTCCCTCACAGTAGTCCATTCGGACACTGCCATAGCTATCAAGCTACCACGCTGCCCCTCCAAAACCAATGCAAGCCTGACTTCAGGAAGCACTACAGCAGCATAACGAGACTGGGCATTGGAGGGCGGCAAGGAGAGCTCACGCGTCTCCAAAAATCGCGCTCAAGCTATTCATTGGCAGGACGAGCTATGCAAGGACTTGCCAAAGTTCGTGCAACTGAAACTCAGGTCAGTGGTCAATGCAATGCAACAAATACCCAGCCCCCTGTAGCAGGAGGGACCTCTAAGTAATGCGAGGAACCTGTCCTTTGCGTGAGCCGCTGCTTCTCCTAGTTACAGCGCCAGAGTTTTCACAATAAAGACAGCTGGTGCGGCGAGCTGGTCGATCTTTATCAATGGAGTGAGGGTAAGAAAACCAGACTTTCCTTCCCCGGCAGAGGCATAGGTGCTGGAACTAGGGGTGCTGGGTTTATGGTCAATGGCGCTCAGTACCACCTCTCCCCCCCCCCACTACACAAATTGTCCAAGCACCCCTAGGCAGAGGAGCAGAAATAAGTGTTTGCAATTCTCCACAAAGGCCTCCACGCACCCCGGCACGGCACTGCTACCAGCCCTACCTGTCCCAGCGCTGCTCTGGAAGCTGAGGTGCAAGAGCTCTGCTAGCCCCTCACCGGCCCAAGGACCAGCGGGAGAAGCTGGATGAGTGCTGCCCCTTCCCTCCCCTCACTCGCTTCTGGGAGCAGCGCACCGTCTCCCCCTGCACACGAAGCGAGCTGTGCAGCGCGGACCCCCCCGCAGCGGCTAGACCACGCGGCACAGTCCCACCTGTTGGAAAGCTCAGCAGCAGCACAGCGCCCGCCAGCTCCCAGGCCAGGTAGGAGCCTTTCATGCTGCCGCTGCGCCTTGCCTGCGCTGCGCTGCGCTCCTCGCTCCCAGCACTGCCACCAGCCTCCCGCGCGCACTGACACCTCGCTAGTGCGGGAGGGAGGGAGCCGGGAGCGCAGAGCCACCCCCGTCCCCAACCTGCTCCTCCTCCAGCCACGCCTCTGCCCTGCCCCCCCCCGTCCCGGATCCCAGTCCCGGGCGGCTCAGGCAAGCCCTGCCCGCTGCTCTCTCGGGCTTCTTGGCTGGGGGGCCTTCAGTGCCTCCGAGTCTCACCCGGTTCCAGGGCCGTTCCCTCCCTTTCAGCTGATGCCCAGGCGGGCCAGAAACTCTGCGGTGGGCGGGGGGATGGCGCCGTGTGTCAGCGAGAGGGGCACCAAAATTAACGGGAATTGATTTCATACGGTAGAGAAGGGGGGAAAGTATCCCGGGAGCCCGCCTAATGCACGCGGCGGGGACGCTACAGCTGGGCCGCATGGAGAAGCGACCAGCCAGCAGTTTGGTCATAGATTTAAGCTCCAGCACTCATAGTGAACTGAGGGCGATGGGGATGGGGCATATTAATAGGTAGGATCGGCGTCAATCCTGCGTGTAGCCTCCGTGGGACTTCTCTACACCAGCGTTAGCTTGCAGGGAGCGCTGGGCAGGATTGGGCGCTAGCGAGAGAGCTCCTTCCTTAATAAAAAGAGCTACAGCTAAACAAAATCACTTTCCTTTAAGCAAGAACCTGTCATACTATGGGATCAAATATCTCTGCCTCAGTGAAAAAGGGGGGGAAAGTCTTTACAGAAACGAATATAAATATACATACATATATATAATTATTTTTATAAAATACAAAAATGTATGCTGCCTAATATATATAAAAACATAGGCATAAGTGTTTAACAGCACTGAAATTCCACTCAGCTTGCCCCCCCTCCCCCCAAAAGTATCATAGAGCGGTTGACACTAGACAATCAAGATAAAGCCCTATTAATAGGCACTCACATGCAGAAAGAACTTTTATACACTATTAGACATCTTGAGAGAGAAAAGACACATTTGGGGAGAGTTAAAGAAAACTGTTAAAAAGCTGTAAACCCCCCTCTCCCTCCAAAAAAACCCGTTGTTTATTGTGCATCTGGATGTAGAGGGAGATAGGACAACTTTTAACAGGGAAAGTGCAACCAGAATCAATGTGGACTTTTTAAATCTCAAGTGTGTCAGTAAAAATCAGAAAAGTTATTGAAAGTAAGTTATTCGTTTTCTTTTTTTCCCCCAAACTGTCAGATTTTTCCAAGGTTAACAGCATTGTCCCATATGGTCAGTCATTAGATCAAAGTCTTGTCTTGTATGTTTAAAATGCCTGTCTCAATTTCTCTGTTTTCATTTTAGACAGCTAGTCTCTATTGCTGGGCAGATCCTGCCTTTGCCTGCAAAGGAGAATACATTTTTTAAATCAAATAGCATTCTTTAAAATCACATTTCTCACTAGGAGTCAGCTTCAAAATTAATTTCGGGGGGGAGGGGGATTTTAATAGCCAAACTTTTTAAAATTTCAGTACAAGTCTATTCACTGCTACTGAGGAAGAGGGTATCTCAGACGCCCTTTATATCTAATTTATCAAATGCTTATTAAAGCCCATTGTCCCTATGATCTTAAATCAGTATTGCCATTTTAGTCCTTAAAGAGTTTTCCAACATCAGATGTCAAAAGCATAGACACAATCTTCACTAGATCTTTAAAAACTATATCCTATTCTTAAAGATATGTCTTGCATTATCACATCCATGGTACCCTATTATAAAAATTGTCCTATCAGTAGAAGCTTAAGCAGAAAATAAAGGTTCTAAACTTCTTGATAAAACCTTTGTGAGTTTATAGTCAGCAATCTATATGAAGAAAAGAGATAAGTCCTTACAAACTGCAGGGTACTGTGTTTTTCCCCTTTGCTACCTGTCAGCATAGAAATCCTGTGGAAGGCTATAGTAATAAGTTTCAGTCAGTAAAGGTACTGTAACCCAGTGCAGTGAATTTGTTTGAAAAGATTTGCAAAAAAGTTATTCTTCCCCAAGGTTTTTTCACTCCTGAGGATGGTCTGTATAGCAAAAGGGGTTAACATAACAAGAAAATATACAGAAACAACCCATTTTAGTTACAACTCAGTCCTGTGACCAGTGACCATAGAACTTTGCCTTCTGCCTCTCATAGGTGTATTTTTATATCATTTACTCAGTGTCTGATTGGGCCTTCAAACTCCAGCTCTGCTACTTCATTCCATTCTGTATCAGGTCTGAACAAGGAATTAACTCCTTGCTTGCTGGAAACCAAGTCAGGCCTTTACATACTGTGACAGGTTCTGTTACAGGTCGTGAAAAATCCTTCTGGGATTTCTTCCAGACCAAATGCTTGGTATAGCTAAAAATCTAAATAAGTTATTAGAAAGCGGTTGTCAGGTGAGGTGACAACCGCTTTCTAATAACTTATTTAGATTTTTTCACCTTCTGAGGTGATTAGAGCCACATGAGACTGAGTGAACTCCTCCAATATTTTCCTTAAATTACATTTTTTGGGAATTATTTACTTTGGTAAATTAATAAAGGGGATATTTCTATCGGCATATAAACTGCAATAAAAATAATAAAATCCTTGATTGATCTGATGTACATCAAAAGAGTGAGTAAGGGAATAGAGCGTTTGCTTCTTGGCTATACTCTTCCTGCTTGTAGCCTCCTGAGCTGAAAAGCTAAAAGCCTATGTTTGCTTAATACATTTTAATTTAGTCATTTAGTACTTAGTAAAGCTAAAGATGTGCCAATAAAGAGCCATCAGTGTTTGTCTAGTCCCATTTTGTTTATTTAATGGAGATTTGTCAGTTCCTCTTATCTGTCAAACAACCGGGATCAGGTTACAGAGTTAACCACACCTCTGACTCCTCTTGGTCTCACGGAGCACATCTCCTCTAGGACCTAGGTCTCAAGCTATCATGTGACTCCTATTCTCAAACTACATCTTTGTTGTAGTTCCTGTGCATCAACCATGATTACTTCAGCAGATCTGATTTATATCCAGATCTTACAATTCTGTTCCCTCCGGGAGCAATGATAGTAGTAACCAGTGACCAGACAGCCTTCTTAAATCAAAGTATTTTCTCTGAAATGCTAATGTTCTAATAAACAGTCCAGACTGTACATACGTCTGACTTACCAGGTGACTCTAACTTCCTACAGATTCGTCCTCAGGACCTCTCACTGTAGCAACCTGTCTCCCTGTCAGAGCTCACTAACAACTTCCCGATCAGCCGCTGGCAATTGATCCCTTTCACAGAAATCAAGTCATGTTTAACTGATTATAGCCCTAGGGCTGCTGAAACAGTTTGTGTAATGGGGGTGTGGAGAGCCATTGAACCAAACTGTAACCCAGTATATAATGGAAATCACTTCAAGCTGCCACACCCCCGGCACCTAGTACAGCCCTTTGCTCCAGTAACTCACAGCCATGGCAAAAGAAAGTTTGCCATTTGCTGAGACAGAAAGTAGGATCCTCAAAGCTAACAGCTTTCCCCATTGTCTTTCAAATGTGTGCCTGGATGATCTTAGCTGGAATCATAGGCCTTGTCTACACTATCAAGTTTTGTCGACAAAAACTGCCAATTGTCGACAAAATAACGAATGCGTACACACCACAATGCGACTTTTGTCAGGAAAAATGCCCAGTTTTGGCAACAAAATACAACTGCCCTGAAGAGAGACATACATCTTTTCCCTCTAAATTTTTCTTTACAAAGTGCCAATGTAGACACCACGCTTGATTTCATCACTTTAATTGGCATTCAGGAGGTGTCCCTTAATGCCCATTGTGACCATTCTGGTCAGCAGTTTGAATTCCACCACCCTGCAGCCAGGTAAACAACCATCCATCCCTCCCCCCTAGAAGCCCTGGGAATTTTTGAAATTCCATTTCCTGCTGGATTGGCATGGAGAGGTCTCATAGCATCTTCCCAGGTGACCATGGCGGGTTATCAAAGCAAACGCTCTCCCACTTAGACCACTGCAGAGCTGTTGGATCTGATCAGTATATGAGGAGAGGAGGCTGTGCAGTCACAGCTGCACTTGAGCAGTAGGAATTGGGATACCTACGGGCACATTTCTCAAGGCTTGTGCGAAAAGGGCTATGATCGGCATACGCTGCAATGCAGAGTGAAGATAAAGGAGCTGAGGCAGGCATACCATAAGGCAAGGAAGCTAACCATTGCTCCACTGCTTCACCTAAGACCTGCAGATTCTATAAGGAGCTGGATGCTATCCTCGGTGGTAACCCCACCTCCACCGCCAAGAGCCTCGTGGATATTTCGGCAGGCCTGGAGGCGGCAGAAAGAGGACCTAACCTGGAGGATGAAGTTATTGATGAAGAGGTGGAGTTAGACAACGGTGTGGAACTCCCGGAGGGGTTGCCCGATGGGGCAAGCAGCCAGGAACTGCTCTCCATTCCAGAGGTGTCTAGCCAGTCTCAGCAGTTGCTCTCTGGTGAGCAAGAAGCAGGAGAGGAGATGCCTGGTAAGTGGCTGTGGCTTGTCAAGTGTGGAGATGTGGGTTCAGGGTATAGAAATGTGGAAGGCTGGCTGTGTTTCTGTGAGCTGGACATTTCCCTGTGTAGCTAATTGGTACGGCAGAACAGGATGTTGATGCACACCGAGATCTCACGGGGAATTCTCCAGAGAGATGTCCAGGAAAGTTTCCTGGAGGTACTCGGTAATCCTTTGCCGAAGGTTCCATGGCAGAGCAGCTTTGTTCCTTCCCCCCATTGTAGGAAACTTTCCTTCGCCATTCAGCAATCACTTGTACAGAGACCAAAGAGGCACATAGGCAAGCAGCATAGAGAGCAGGGCGGAAGCCACAAGCATGGAGTAGATGTACACTCGTTTCCCAGCTTACCCTTAGCAGTGAGATATCTGCTAGAATGACCCCCGCCTGTGGAAAAGTGTGGCAGAATTTTAGAATTTTTTCCCTAGTCAGCTGCCCCAG